GTTCAAAATTGGGTTTTTATTATAAGGTGTGGTTTAGAATAGTTCAATAGAACAAAGTATATCTTTCTGGGAACTTGGTCTCTTAAATGCAAAGTTCTTTGATCACAGTTTCTTTTATTAACACAAAACACGACTTTAATTGACTTTTATGACTCCCGTGAGTTTTTATTATGTCACTACGCTCCAAAACCAAGGGTACGAGTACGCTGTCTCGTCTAAAATGATACTGTGTCCTTAAAACCTCTTATTCAAAAGTCTCCAAGCAAGTTGACTCCCAAGCACGCTGGCTTCGTTCACACTGTACTTTTCTTGACCACGAAGAAATCTCCTTTAATTGATTACAACTGTCCACCTCCTAAGTCTCTACTTGGAGTGCAACTAGCTGGTCAACGGGGGACGATTGCTTCCCTTTTGACCTGCCAGCGCGCTCCTTATATACTCCAGGAACCCCTATCTATGTTTTACATGTGTTTTAATGCGGGATACTTCGGTCCGAATTACAAATATGAAATTTAATGAACGTGTGGTATATTTTGTAGTCTATCTCTGTGAACACTACAGATTTTGTAGTGTCGCGTCTTTCATTTTCAAACGCATCAAGTGTTTGATGCGTACACGGAGTTAGCCGACGTAGCTATTCTTAGCTTGGCATGATCTCGCGTGTTTCTTTCTATGGCCCGGTTTACCGGTTTGACAGATGACATCACAAAATGATTAACGTTTCCTGATGCGTTGATGCGCATGCGTACGTGTTTACCAATAGTCTTCGGCCTTCCGTCGCTTCCGAGTTTTTAATTAAAATGCCTTGTCTTGGCTCGTCTTTTCATTACGGAGGTCGGGAGACACTCCGAAGGTGTTTTCAAATGTCTTTCTTAATTGTCAGGGGGTTCTTATTATATTTCATATAATAGAATGTGTCTTTTTCTCATGTTTGTACTTGTGACGTTCAGACGCATCAGTCTTTGATGCGTATGCGGGAACTGCCGTACATGACTTTCTGAATGGCTGGGAGCCACGCTAAGTCTTCATACGTTTACTACCTAGGTGTAGTTTAGTCTTTCCATGTTTCAGACATGCCGTTTAAGCATCTATGTCGTCTTTTCTGTATTTCTTGTATAAGCACGAGTTTTCACAATAAATCCATTATGTGTTTCTAAACCCTTTGGTAGTAATGCAATTCTTCTCCCTGCGTTGGGTGTTTACTCTAGAACCTCTTCGTGCTCTATTTCATGGTAGGTGAATCTTAGATAGGATCCAAGTATAATGTCACGACGCGTACTGCTGCCAGTTCCAAAGCCTTGTCCTATTTTCAGATTCCACGCATTTGCATTTTTAGTCAACTGCGCCGGGTATGCACATTGACTCTTTGTATCATTGCAATTGTATGTAGTGTATTTATTAGAGATGACCTTTTATCGGTAAAATCGTTAAAATTGAATTTTATACGGGTGAGATGGTTTCATCCGTATCACCTGATCTACATCTGGATAGAAAATGGACAAAATGAGTGTAGTCCCCACATTTTTGAGCATATGTGCAGTGCACCCTGGTTTAACTTTAATTAACACATGATGGAATTGAAAAGGTGTATTATAATTACTTCAATCCAACATACATGAATGAATATATGATGAACACAACTAGTCAGGTGTTCATTGATCTTGACAATCCAGCACCCCTGGACAAGTTGGAATGGATTGGCAAAGGAAAAGTGTATCCCATATTGGATCCACCTCAAGAGCTGGTCGTCTATCGCGACAGCCATTTGGACATACCTAAGATTTGGGCACACTTGCTTCTACCTGATGGCAACATCACTGTCGAGGAGCTTCTTGCGAAATCTTTGTTCAAGGGTATGCATGCATTAGTATTTAAACCTTTAGAAAGCTCAGCAGTTCAAGCATTGAGTGAGAGGAAGAAAAAGGGTGGTAACGACATTGAAATGGGGACAGATGACCAGGAAGATTAGATATTACAGTCTTACATTGGAATTTAAGGCCTTTGGGCGGCAGGAGCCTTGCCTACACACATATACTATGCCTGATGTGATGTCCAGATATAATTTAGGAAAATCCTATGCCTGATGCCATATCCGGAGGATTTTTGGGAAATATTGGGAAATTCTGTCTGGAGGAAAATTGTCAAATTTGACAATTTTGGGATCAGGGATCCAACACTACTTTCAGGGGTCCTCTAAGAATTGAGCAGCCCTTTTGGTGCTTCAGTGTTGCCTGAGGACTTCGGTGTTTTTTATACCAGTCGATGATCAGAGCTGTGCAAGGAAAGGACATTAGAAGCTTTTACTTGGTGGATCTTGATGAGAGCCTTTATGACAATCCTGATGCCTTGACCAGGTTCACCAATCTAGGGCCATTTGAGCTCAAGACCTTCTCCACGCACTGAAAAGTAGTGTTGGAAGGTCATGACTAAAAACAGAAAGTCACAGTCATGACTTTGATGACCATGACTAGTCATTAATCACGAGCTTTAGACCCATGCCTACGGCACGGCGCTTGCTGGCACTTGGCCATTCCTTCAGCATGGGTCACAGCTCGCCAGGGGCAAGCCCCCTGGACCCCCTGGTACACATCTTTAATCCCAGTTTCAGTACTCATCCCCAGTGAAAACCGGCTCTGCACTGCTCCGCACTGAGCCGCAAATATCAATGGTGGAGGACAAAATCGGTGAGAATCTGCATCTAGGTAGTGTTTTAAAGTCCAGTTAAGTCCAGTTTTTTACCTCAAAACGAGGCAACTGGCAACTGTAACCAGTCCAGACTGATCCAGATATTAAGGGACCGCAAGCGGACCCTTTTAGACTGGTCCTAATCGGTCCACAACACAAAAAAAACTGGTCCAGACCAGTTGTGACCGGTCTTTTGTTGAAAATTTATTGTGCCAGATATATTAAATGTTACCTCACGTATATAGCATGCGTAGATAGATAATTTAATTCTCCGTAGACTGACCAAAATTTGAAGCAATTCGGTCAAGATTTGACTGAGATATGGTGAAAACAGAGAGAACATACATTCAAATTGCGTATAAAAATGTTTTTGGCCATATCTCAACCAATGCTTGACCGTTTTTGATGATTGAGGGACCGAAAATTAAGGAAAAATGTGTGCAAGTAAGGTCTAACACGTAATGGGATGAAAGACCAGTTGCAACCAGTCTAAACCGGTCTTTTTCGGTTTTTAAAATTTACAAAAACATGGCAACTGGCAACTGGACTGGCCACAAATGTGGGCAACTGCAACTGGAAAAAGATCGGACTGTGGTTCAGTCCAGTTCGGTCCTATGTATATTTTCAGTCCTGTAGACTGGATCTGCGAACACTACACCTAGGTGAGGTTCCCGGCATCAACCAAAAAACTTCTTTCCATCACTGACTGTTTTACATCAACTTGAAATCTTTCCATTCAAAGTTCTTTTCGCAAGTCGACTCTGGGTGATTACATATATCAGTACTTTGTCATGCCCCACTGATTCCTGCAGGAATGGAGCCATTCCACTGGAATCTGCAGGAATGGCACAGGAATCCACAGGAATGGACAGGAATGGCACTGGAATCCACAGGAATGGACAGGAATGGACAGGAATGGACAGGAATGGCCTAAAACACATATTTTTCCAAGCTTAGCTAGATGTCACATGACTTAATCAACTCAGACCTTATGCTCATAACTTCTAAGAATTCCTTATGCTATTTATACTTGAATAGGGAGAATCACAGTGTATTTGATAGAACTACATAAATCTATTCTACTACATTGAGTGTTAAAGGGAGGGGGGAGTGGGGGAGAGTGATGGA